TCTATTGAATGAACTGATAGATTGACATAGGGAGGTACATAGGTAGGTAGTAAGGTAGGTAAACTGTAAAATTGTACTACTTTCTAAAAATGGTCAGGAACATAGTGACTAACTCATAGCTGCATCAGATATAACATATTATGAAACCATTCATTAAACAATTACAAATGTCTACACTGTATTTGTTGAGTCATATTTATAAAGCGATTATTTATGTGTAAAAATTAACCTCAGGTGCTTATCTCTCAGTGCATTTATTAGCAATTTAAGTTTTTTTCTTTAAAAAAAAATAACATTCCCTAAGCTATTCAAACTAACACAATATACCGTAAGCCAGTTACAACAAAGTCTGCACCTTAACTAATTATTGCTGATAAACATGCTAAGTTAATGCAAGCCCAGCTTGGAATAAAGAGAACATTAAGCAAATGATTCATTTGACAATATAGTGAAATAAGATACTTTGCGCTTTAGTTATGTTTGTGTGTTCAAACATGTGGCTAAAGACAATTACCTTCCCAATTAAATAACCACAACAAATGTTGATAAATAAAAAAAGAACAGTTCTTAAACCACACAAAGATCTTTTAATGTCCTTCTTTCTCATTGGTGTGCATCTCAAATATATTCTGAATGGAGTGGGGGGAAATATATTTTATGAACCATTACCCTGGATTTTGGTTAGATCTATATAAGTGTTATTTAGGTTTTTATGTAAGCAATACTTACATCGATCAAACCAAAATCCAGGGTCATACTTCATTATAGAGATGAGCAAATTTTTCAGAATTTATTTTGTTTAATTTCTCATGGGATGAATCTGTCAATTTCAGGTTTTTTTTTTTATTTCAGTCTTAAGCTTGATCTCTTCCCTTTCCCCATTCAAATTCCAATGTAATTCATTATTAGGCTGACTTTTCTACAGTGTCTATCTCTCTATACAAATTTAGAGAAGTATTACATTTATTTTGTCAATTCAGAATTTTTTTTTTTAGTTTAGTTTGTGTAATTATTCTGAAATTAGGTAATTTAAAAAGTGGAATCGAACTAATTTTTACAGCATCCTTATTTCCCAGAGCGACTCAGAAACACTCCTGGAAAATGCACAAACAACTCATTGCCACAAGAAATCTTTTTCTATTAATGCTGTTCTGTAATATACATATGCCCTCTTTCCCCTAGGAGCTCAAACCAACATTTACAATGCCCTTCCAATTTTCTTCCACAAAACCCCCCTGTGAGTTAGATGGTGCTTCATGCTATGCAAATCTGAATTTTGGCCCAACGTTTCAGAATGGGTAAATTACCATGTTAATCCTAAGTAAACTTGCATATCTTTTTGCTTTCTCTGAGCATTTACTTTTCTTTGGTGTCTTTCTTTTCATTTGTAATTTGGCAGATGTCTAATATTGATGTTCTTTCATTAGAAACTATGTCAAAAACATTATTGATAATGTGGGTAACACAAGTATTAGGGGGAAACATGGGAAGGTCTTCAGAAAGTCAAAGAAATCCCAAAAGTGCTTTTTCAAGAGGCAACTGGACTTTCTGGTTTTTTCTTTGAAGATGTTTTGCTTCTCATCCAAGAAGCTTCTTCAGTTCTCAAGAAGCTTCTTGGATGAGAAGCAAAACATTAAAAAAAACCAGAATCCAATTGCCTCTTGAAAAAAGCATCTTTTGGTCAATCATCATCTGGATAATTGAGAATTTCCATAGACAAAACCTAAGAAGGTAGAGATACTTAAATGATACTTAAAATCAACTATGATTTTGATTTTATTAAACAATCAATTGGCTTGTAAGAGGTGCTGCATACAGCTAGCATCTCTTGGAAAAGAAAGTAGTGAACTCAATAGACACAGTATGAAAGTCAATTGTACAAGGAGAGGCAAGGTCTTTTCCTCCACGTCCATTATGAAGTAGTTGAGGAACTAGATGGGTATGTGAGACCACTCTGCTTTAGGTTCTCACATAGAGGAGAGCTTATATGAAGATGGGACAAAGTATCACAGAAGTTTAATATCTAAAAATAAAAAGGAATGCTGATGAGGATTTATCAGATTATTAAATCACTGCTGATTTTTTTTCTTCATTCTTTGAGCTCTTTCCTGACTTAAAGGATCATATTCAGCTTTATAAATAGTTACTGGAGTTATGTAAGTATTGTGAAACAACCCCAAAACATGTTATGCTATGCTATGCTATGCTATGCTATGCTATGCTATGCTATGCTATGCTATGCTATGCTATGCTATGCT